AAAAAAAAAAAAAAAAAAAAAAAACCCTAATAAAAATTTTTAAAATAAAGAAAGTGAAAAACAAATCTGCTCAGGATCTAAGCATGCTTTGTGCCTCAAGATCCAGTCCAGCCAGTTGGCGTCCCGCAGCTGACGCAGTTCACACCGACTGTACTCTTTAGGACACTCCACCGGACAACCTCATAATTACACAAGTTCTGTTAGCAGTGCACTGTGAGCTACTAAGCCTCACCACTGGATCAGGAAGTAGTGAGCTACCTGCTACAGAAGACTCGGCAAAGGCACCCAGGCCCTGCCCTCAGTCAGGATGCGGAGGATAAGTGACAGAACTGCTCGCAGAGGGAATAGCCCGGGAGGCGGTCACGTGACCACGCCGCGGGGCAGGGGTGGAGTCGAGCGGCCAGACGCAGCCTGGTCGCCTAGCAACTGCCTGGGCGCTGTGCTATGGAGGCAGTGGAGAGCAGGGAGCTACAAGCGAGGGATTATTTGGAAAAACATCGGATTATGGAGCTGCTGAACCACCTCACCAGCGTCCTCCTCTTTGTTCGGCCTCGTAAGTATCTTGCCTGTTAATTAGTTTTGTCTCCAAAAGTTCGCCAGGATACCCCCTCCTCCACACTCACTGTGTCCGCAGCCCCAGGCTGCCGCGACCCCTTGGCTGTCAAGGAAGCCAGCACAGTGGAGCGACCCCTCTGTGCCAGCCGCTGGCCAGTTGCGGCCAGCTCAGGCTGGGGTGAGGGGCTGGGGCTGAGAGAGTGGCTCCCAGGCTGGCAGCCTGGCTCCTGCCCACCCCTTAGTACTGCGGGACTTTGGGCAAAACTCTGAACTTTATCCCTTCCTCTGGAGAATGGGGGCAATAATAAGAGGTGTTATGCCCGTGCTCTCCGCGATCAATGTAATCATTATGTGCTGCGAAAAGTTAAAAAAAAAAAGTAGTAGCCATCTTCCGGGAACGTGGGGAAGAATCAATAATATATAAATCAGCCTTGTACCTGCCAAGCAACAGGTGTTTCCAATGCAAACCTGGCTCACAGAGTTTTCAATTTAGTAAGGGAAATAAACTATTTTTCCCCACCCCCGGGAACTAAACAATTGGTAGGGTGAGCTAGAAGGATGTTCTTGAAAAGTTTTCCCTGACATTTTTATAAACCTGAATCCCTTTCAAAGTTTGAATCATTTCACACTTTTTGTTTGGTGTAGGATCAAGAAGTTATGTTAAGCTAGGTGTGGTGGTGCATAGCTGTAATCACACCACTCTAGGAGGTTGAACCAGGAAGATTGGAAGGTCCAGCCCAGCCCGGGCTACTTAACAACTTAATGATAACTTGACTGAAAAATTTAAAAGAAAAATTGTTTTAAAAAGATGGAGATGTAGCTTACTGAGAAGGCCCTGGATTTAATCCTCAGTATAACAAAACGAAACAAAACTAAGAAATTAGAATGGTTACATGGCTGTGTCCTCCCCAGGATGTGCAATCGGAACTTGCAGTCCCCACATGGAGTGCCCAAAATGCCAGCCTGATTGTATATTATACTGACTTCCGGTATTGCTCGAAGGAAGTTGATGTCATATGCCATCAGATTCCTTTTTTTTTTTTTTTCTGGTGGTCTTGTACATGCTAGGAAAGTATTCTACCACTAAGCTACAGCCCCAACCCTCTCTCCTTCCCTCTTTTTTCCTAGCCTTCCTGCCTCAGCCTATTGAGTAGCTGGGATTACAGATGTCATCAGATTCTTTTTTTTTTTTTTTTCTTTTTTCAGTACTGGGGATCGAACTCATGACCTTGCACTGGTGCCACTGAGCTAAATCCCTGGCCCCCCATCAGATTCTTGATCCGAGTAATATATGTTTTCTTCTCTCTGGAAATTTTTTAGGATTGTCTTTTTATTGCCTCCCTGGTGTTCTAAATATTTATCTGCCTTGGAGTAGTTTTGTTGTTTTAACTTTATTGTGCTAAGTACTGGTGGTTCTTTAAATTTTGTATATTGTTTTCTTTTAAGACTAGAAAATGTTCTTTCTTATTTCTTTCTTTCTAGAATTGTTAGTTGATTATTGGACATCTTGGCCTGATTCTTTAGTTTTCTTTACCTCTTGGTATGCTATAATTTTGATCAGAAGAATGCAATTTATGAATCTGCTGAAGATTATCTTGAAAATTTATTTTATTGAGAATTATTTTAATGTTCCCCATTAACTTACACCCTGACATTATTATTCCTTACAGTTCTTATACTTACTAATGGTTCTTAATGAGTAGGGTTTAACAACCAAACCAAGGATATTTTGAGTGGAAGTAGATGATAATTATGTCAGAAAATAATTAATAATTATGTCAGAAAACATAGTAAACTAGGACTGTCTCAGGGAAATTGGACATTTCATCATTTTAATTATAAAAACAAGTTAAAATTGAAAAGAACATCATAGCAGCTGATGGGTCAACTGAATAGAAAACTGACTTTTTCTTTTCTTTTTTTTTTTTTTTCCGTACTGGGGATTGAACTGGGGACCTTGCACTTTCAAGGCAGGTGGCATCACCACTGAGCTAAATTCCCAGCCCAGAAATTAACTGTTTTTATCCCCCACACTACAAAAAGAGAAAAGAAAAAATGTTTCGGGGTTTTCTGAGTCACTCCATAAATGTGCTTATCATACCTGCAGTAGTTGCTCGATAATATACTCCTTATGGCCTTTCAAACAGTTCTATTTTTAAGGAAAATGATATGTAATACATGATATAAAATATATAACATGATTCATGCATCATCAGATGTATAATTTGTATACTACATATGATATAGCGTGTATATATATGACTGCATATACTGTATAGATGTATGTAACAAGATAGGGCCTCATATATGATGTTGAAGCCATCTCAGTCTCCACACAGAATTGCATTTAGAAAAGCACAGTCATTCCATGATCAAGAGTAATTAGAAAGAGGGCTGGGGATTTAACTCAGTGGCACAGCACCCACCTGGCAAGTGTAAGGTCCTGTGTTCCAAATCGGTAACACAGCCCATCCAGCTCTTCTGTCTCCCATTTCCTTTTTCCCTTGCTTTTTACTCTTAGCTTTTCATATCAACCAATTTAGCATACTGACGATTTCTTGTTTTTCTTCCACACAAAAAGCCTTAAACCCATTTGGCAAAAACAAAAATCTCTTATAGAAGAATATACAGCAGGGGGAAAGAGAATCTAAACAGATAGTCAGAATTCTCCATAGCAGAAGAGGATATGGACAAGAAGTCAGGGACTAGTCACACATTAATAACATAAAAGCTGTCACATAAATAATTCAATTATCAATGTGAAAAGTTGAGATGCTGTTACCACACTTAACAACGTGAACTCTTGGAAACATCTTCCCAGACTTCAAAGGTGAGGCTGGGAAACTGCAGTGAGGAATTGTGTGCTTGGGTAGGAGGAGGGGAAGCTTAGGCTGGCTCAGAGCACGTGTACTATGCTTCTGGGCTTCCTGCCCAGCCCTGCAGCTGACAGAGGAAAGGGAACTTTCACTGCCTGCAGTGCTAGTCCGAAAGAGCATAACAAGTTGCTTGTCCTGTCCTAAAATGTCTTGAATTTGGTTCTTCTGCTGCTATTCCTATTTCTTAATATAAATGTGTCCTTTTACTCACCAGAGTATGGTTGATCCTTAGGAAGACCCGCTGTCTTTATCTTGTGACTTTGTGAAGTCCCTGGCATCATGACATGTGTTGCAGTTTGAAAACCTTCAAATTGTAGGGGGATTACAGAAAATAAAACAAGGCAGCTTACTTGAGCTATTACTATCGAGGAAACAGGCCCACAGCCTCACATTCTCAAGTCCTAAATTCTAAGACCTCTGGAACCCAGCAGATCTTCATAAGTCATTTAGTAGTAAAAGCTGGCCTGTCCTAAAGTCAGTCAGTAGGAAAACTTGGCTCTAGAAATACAGTCATACCGGGAACACAGTAGTTGGCTGGCCAGCCACTTCTCAGTGACAGGTCTATGGTAAGGGTAGAAGAAATATGGATTTTAAGGGAATGGTTGTAATAAAATTAGGAAAAAAAATCAAAGGAGGCATTTCTACTAGTTCTGATGGAGAGGTACTGCTGTGGGAATAGAAGGGTAAGATGAATTTGGGGGCTGCTGAGGAGACCCACCAGAGAACATCACAGCCGATTAGATTCGGCAATTAAAGGTGCACCCTGCATTTGAGTTGGCAGAATGTGGTAGTCTGTGAGCTCTAGCAGGCCATTGCCTGGATCCATACTGGCCACATGACCTTGGCTAAGTGATGGTTGTGAAGAATGAGCGAAGTAATCCGTAGAAATGCTCAACATAATGCCAGACTCACAGTAGGAGGTCAATAAATATTAGTTACGTTTTTCTTTTTGTGGTAGTGGTGGTGGTTTTGTTGGTTGTTTTTTGTTTGTTTGTTTGTTTGGTACCTGGGATCAAACTTGGGTCCTAGTGCTTGTGAGGCAGGCAGCAGAACCACTGAGCTAAATTGGTGGTAGTTTTGTTTTGTTGTTGTTTTGAGACAGCGTCTCACTATGTATCCCAGGCTGACCTCAAACTCAGTGATCCTCCTGCCTCAGCCTCTTTCCAGAGTCTGGGATTATAGGCAAGTGCCACCACACCTGGGTAAAGTAAATAGTTCTTTTTTGTTTTGAAAGGCATTTCTGTGTTTAATAGTGTTCCAGAATTTTAACTTACTAAACAAAATATATTCCAAGTGAACCTAAAAATTATGCTTTATAAACATAAAAGCACTTTTTTTGGTTCAATTCATCAGTTGTATCTGCAGATCTGCAGACAGGAAGACAAAACTGTGTATAAAGTAGTATTTCTTACCCAGCAATGGAAAGCAGCCCTTATGGAGTTACTTTTCAAAAGGCTTAGAAAAACCATTTCAAACCCACTGAGACTAACTTACAACTTGGTACTCACATTTAACCTAGTCTGTGACTCACTAATGCTGCAAAACAGGCTTTCTTCTAGACAGTGATTCCTTCATGTTAACTGGCTAATAACTGGGCACATTAGGGAAACAAGGGACCACCCATTGCTATCTCAGCATGAATCTTAAGTGCTTGCTGGGAACGTTCATTGGAAAGATTATTTCTAGAAGGTAAGTTTTGATTTGCTTTTGATTCAGAATTCTCCATCTCTGAAAAAGCCACACCTCCCTCTTGGAAACAAAGGAAACATCTCAGAGCACTTTGTAAGCTATGTGTGGCATGGAAAGGGAGGCTGACTGATACCCTTTACATTCTGTGTTCTAGAAGAAAAGAACTAGGTAAACAAACATTATTCCAGACTCTTCTGCCACCCAAAATGAATAAAACACGGTTCTTTTTTTACACAGTACTAGCCAAAGAAAACAAAAAATTAGATCTTCCAAGAGCAGTCTGGTGCTCAACACTATGCTTTTATGCTTGTGTGTTTTTAAACATAAAATAATGTTGTTTGAACAAAGGAGCTTTGTAGTTCTTTGGGGTTGTTTTTCTTCTTCTTCTTTGGTACTGTGGATCGAACTCAGGACCTTGTGCTTTCGAGGCAGGCATGGTGCCACTGAGCTAAATTTCTGGCTGTAGTTCTTTAAAGTGACAGTACTTAAAAAGTTTTAGGTAATAAATAGCTTGGATACTTCCAGTCCTGCTTCCAAGCATGAGCAACAGGGAACATGTTTTAGGCTATGAGGATGGACTGAGGCACCTGGAGCCACTGATGTCCTGCTCAGACCAATTCTAGTGTCATCCACACATGGCCACCAGTCAAAACTCATCAGTTTTCCTCTGCAAGTACTTTACGTGGAGTCCTGCCCTAGGCCGAGTCCCATATCTTCTTCAGCACCTCGTACTCCTTCTTGTTGGCCTGCTCGAGCCCCAGCTTCATGTTACAGTGTGTGAGGGCCTTGGACTCCTCCAGCACAACTGGATTACATGAAGCAACTCCTTGATAGGTGCAGGTCCCCCAACCAGGCCAAGGTCCCAGGCCCTCACACCTGCCGCGCCATTGACTTCTGCCACTGAGCAATAATTGCTTTGCAGAAGCTCCTCCCATAATCTTGGGAAACATAATGGTAGATCAGCTGTCTAAACTCTGTCTGGTATTTCTGAAACCAAGCCTTTTCATTAGCCCAGACCACATCACAGAGGCAGCACGCATGCTCCTTAGTCCTTACTCAGAGTTAAACTAAATGAAAGATTTCACCAGCTTTCTGATAGCCTTGGCTGTTTTACTGCTTTCTCTTCTCTGATCATCTGTGAGACACCATAGAATGTAAAGTTGAGATCCCAGTAGAGGTCAAAGGCAGTATGTCAAGCAGCACCAGATTGCAGTCGCTGGCAGTGACGGTGTTCAGAGCGCTCTGGACTGAGTTATTCTTTGGAGATTTTGTGGATCACCTGCTTGGCTCCTGAAGATAGTGTCTCTGTATCTGTAAGAACTCTGTTTGCTCACACTGAAATGAAACCACTTTTCAAAAGGCTGGTCTTCTGTCAACAAATTTCCTTTTCCCACCTGTCACTCCTGTAGCAGACATCCAATTGTCGGTTGTTCCAGTGGCCCTGAGGGCATCCATGAATGGAGATGTACCTAGCCCATTTGCCTGCACACCTATGGCTATGGCTGCAGTCACAGGGGCACTGGTGGGTGGAGGACTCAGGGCCCTCCCCATCCTGGCTTGTTCTGCACCAGGACCCAGTAAAGCTCCACAGGCTTCTCTGCTGCCACTTCTGGCACCCATGTCCTCTCGACCCTGCTATGTTCAGAAAGCCACCCACTCTGGTTCTGACTTTAACGGGACTCCTAGGTATATGACAATCTTGATTCCTCACCTTGCATGGTCCCTGTTCTGGACAGGGATGAGGCTGTGTTTTACCTGAACTTCTGTCTGGTCACAAGCAACATATTGGTTTTGGACTTGCAATCCCTGCCAATCATTAGTGCCTTAGGGGATGTCTTGGGGAAGTTGCCGTTGGTAGACCTGGAAATCTACTTGCAGGAAAAGTCCTATTCTCTGGGGTCAGTGTGTTCTTTCTGTTTCTCGGTGTGACACCTGTTGAAGTCGTGGATGTCCTAGCAGTTGACCAGGTGCCAAATCCTTGCTGTCATAGCCTTTCCACACTAGGTACTCTGTCTTCCTTTTGTCAACAACCTGAGCCAGTGGTGGAAATCCACATAATCTGTTTTACTCCTTTTCCAAGTATTCCCAAGCAACAGACAATCAGTAACCAGTACTATACTATACAAGGTAACCTACTTCCGATAGGAATCTCAGCCATTTTCTACCTTAGAATAATGACTCAGGGATGATATTGTGGTAATGTGAAAAAGCAGAGAGTCCTGATCTCTTAGACAGTCTTCAAATGTTCATTAATGGAACACAATTGCTGACTTTCTTCAAAATAATACAGGAAGACAGGGAAGTAGCTGAGGCTATGTTGAAATAAGATTGGCCATGAACTTTAACAACTAAGGTTAGTGGCTTTGGTCTACTTTTACAAACATATATGATTCTCCACAATAAGTAACTTTTTTAAAAAGAACTTTAAAAAAATGAGTAAAACCTAAGACTAAAATAAGATGACAGAGGGCTGGGGATTTAGCTCAATGGTTCCACTGCCTGCCTTGCAAGCTCAAGGACTCAAGTTAGTTTTCTAGTAACAACAACAACAACAAAAAATGCTTAAATGAAAGAGCCTTTTTGGTTTTCAATTCTATCTGTGAACTATATCACCTGGCCAGTTCTTTTGTTTACTGTCCAGGTGCAAGCCATGGGAGGTGGTTCATACCTGTAATCCCAGCACAAATGGAGAGTGAGGCAGGAGGATTTCAAGTTCACACCCAGCCTAGGCAATTTAGTGACACCGTCTTAAAATTTAAAAAAACAAACTGGTCTGAAGTTGGAATCCTTAGACTTTTGTATCCAGTCACCATATTCAATGTCTGGCATTTCCTGCTGTTAAGTTTCATCACAGGCAAGGCTTGTAACCCTAGTACTTAGTATAGTACCTTGAACATAGGTGTTTAGTAATTATTAAATGATCACTTCCATTGGGTATGGTGGCACAGCCCTGTAATCCCAGCACTTTCAAGAAGCTTGAGACGGGAAGATCTCTGCAGGTTCGAGACCAGCCTGTGCTACATAATGAGTTCAAAGATATCCTGACTATACAGCAAGAACTTGTCTCAAAAAACCAAAAACAACAGAAATGACTATTTCCATTTGGGATGTATTTTATTTTTATACCAGAATGAGTTGGAACTCTTCTTTTGCAGCAAAACCAAGAGAATATCTAATCTCTCTGTTGGAACGTCTGAGACTTGCTAAAGTCACTGGTGTTGCATTTCCTTTCTTCATGGATAACTCCAACATAGTGGCTATGTTTGACATGATGGACCCCTCGGGCAAAGGCACCATTACATTTGCACAGTATAAAGAAGGTCAGTGTCTTCCACGTGTTGAAGTCACAGCAGATGGTCACCCCATAACTTTCTCCAGCTGGAAACACTTTTCGCTTCATGAATGTTCATTTCTTCTCATTCTGACTTTTACAGCCCTTAAGAACCTGGGTCTGTGTATTGCAGATGAAGTTTTAAATGACGATGGACACATAATAACTCTGGATAAATTCAGGGATGATGTGTAAGTTTATTTTTTTAATGAATATTTTAGAAACATGGTATGGCTCTGAAGTATTACTAATACCACGGCAAAAGGTTCCTATCTTTTTAGAGAAACATTTCATTCCCTTGAAACGTTCAGCAACTAGAGTCCCCCTTTGGGAGGGAGAGGAAATGGAGTTAAATTTGTTCTTTTCTCAGTGGGAAACCTCAGCATCTCTCAAAGGATAAGGTGAAGAACCTGATCTCTAGAACTACCTGAAAAGTTCTGGACTCAATACACTGATGGGAAAGTCTGTATAAAATATACAGTATTAGGATGAATCTCAAATATTTCCTCAATATTACTGCCAAGTAAATGTTTATCAATAGTAGAGGTTATGTGCTGCCTAACAATTTTAGATTTGAGATACTACAAAATTAAAAGTTTTAACTAAGTGCTAAATCAGGAAAAACTGGAATAAAATTTGGTAGATGTGGAGAGCCTTGAGTTAATTTAGCTCAGTTTGTTTAAGTTTTACTCTCTGAGGATTTATTAATCAAGAAATCATTATTTAATACAACCCAATGCCAAGGAAAATTAGAAGATAAAAGTTAAGATTTTGTCTCACCTTCAATTATATAAATATTAAACAAAAATATGTAATTATAGTCCTTAGCACAGGGGCAGCATTAGGACTGTGGCCCTAAATGTTTCGTTTGAAGGAGAAAGGTTGCCACTCAACTAAATGGAACAAGGAAGTATTTTAAGTGGAAGAACATTTCTGTAGAGCCCTTTCTTAGCCACCATTTCTTAACATGTTTTCTTATAGAAAGACAGTGAACTCCTAACCTGGATACAAGAAACTGCATTCTTTTTTTCTTTTTGGTACCGGGAATCAAACTCAGGACCTTGTGTTTGTGAGGCTGGCCACAGAACTACTGAGCTACATCCCCGGCCTGAAACTCTGTATTCTTAAGTAGCTTAAAAAATTTTGTTGGCCATGTTTGGTTATCTATAATATTCCTTTAATTAGCACAGGAGTCTAAAAGTTGAATATAATTTATTTTTGCTTTTGTATTTCATTTCAACACACAAATGCACCATTATATTTGTAAATGGAATCTGAGTTTTCATAGTTTCTGAGTTTTCTGTTTTTTGATTTTCTTAGGAACATGAGGACTTGGAAAATATGGAAGGCATTTTAGTGACACCAAAAAATCCACACTAATAAATGATTCTGAAAAGTTTTCATTTGTCCAGTTTCATTAATTCACAACTTCATCATACAACTTGAAATCCAACTGCCTTTTTCTTTAAAAAAAAAAAAAAAGAAAGAAAACCCCAAAACCACCTTCTTCTGAAAGACCCATTATTTTCCCATGTTAGGCCAGTTTGTCCTCAAGTTAAGTAAAATCTCAACATCTCGTTGAGCCAATTTATAAATCCCAACTTCATTCAGTGCTGCCACGGCAGAAGGCTGACCGGAAGCTGTCCGCAACATGTCTCTCAGAAGCATTGCAGAGCCGATGTTCAAATTCAGAACAATGCAGGCTTCTTTCACACTGTGGAGGAGAGAGACATGGGGAAGAGGAAAGGTGGGGAGAGGGTGAAGGCAGGGTAGAAATGAGATCTCCATTATCCATAAAATCCATATTACACCAATTTCACGTAAAGAAACAGCTTTCCTGTGCTACTGGCCACATGTCCTGTGTAAAAACTATTTAGGGACGTATTATTTAGCTCCTTAAAGATGGTGACTACACAAATCTACAGTTTATCATTCCATGGGTTACAATGTCATAGTAGAATCACTGCTTTCAACCAGGTCATGGTTGTGCCTTACGTAATAGTTTGGTCTCCCTATTGTTCTCTGAACATGCAGTAGATACGCAATGCCCATTTTAAGATTTTATTTAATCCCCCCCCAAAAAAAATCCAACTCAGAGGCTATTCAAGGAGTCAGCCTTTTCTTACACTCTGACACATCAGTATTAATTGCAAAATATTAAGCTTACTGTTTAAAATAATTTTCTGGCCTCTTGCAATAGCGAGAAAATAAGGGGAAGAGATTCCGAGTCATATCAAACTGCAGCTGGACTGCTCCGCCTTCGTTGAAGTGATTAGCAAGAATGACCTAAAACCGAGAGCAATGCATGTGACAGTGGCTTTACTCTCCCTGGCCTCAAACCCACTCCACCTCACTCACTTCCTGATAAATGTACACATCCAGCTTCTCCACCAGCATCTGCCAGAACATTTTAAATAAGGAGAAGCACAGCTGCTGCTCCAGTTGCAGCAAACGGTCCCGTAACGTAAGCAAGAATGGGCAAGCCGAGCTGGACAGTGACATCACCGCCTGTTCCGCCTGGGATGGCAAGGACAGCCATCTAGGGAAAAAAAAAAAAATTCATTGCTGCCATAAAAGTTTTCATTACCTTCTATTTCTAGAGTTTTAACAAATCATTTTTGTTATACATCTGTAATTCCAGCACTTGGGAGGCTGTGCCAGGATCATTGTGAGTAAAAGGCCAGTCTGGACTACACAGACCCTTTCTCCAAAAAGTTTGTTTATTTAATTTTTTTGGGGGGTACTGGGGATCAAACTCAGGTCCTTGAGGTTGTGAGGCAGGCAGCAGAACCACTGAGCTAAATCCCTGGGCCCTGAAAAGTTTTTTTAAAAAGTATTTTGAATATGAGCAGAGAAGCAAGAGGATTGCAAGTTCAAGCCCAGCTTGGGGAACTTAGTGAGACCTTATCTCAAAGATAAGAGCTGGTGGGTAGCTCATTAGTATCTCACTTATCTAGCATGTGCAAGGTCCTGGGCTCAATCCCCAGCACCACAGGGGGAAAAAAATCCCCATGTTTTAATATATAACTTACTGATACAAACTTAAAATGTATTTTTAGCATTTAAGATATCAGCTAATTTCATGCTCTAATTTTCACAAAAACAACAGGGACTAATAACACTGCCAAACTGAGTATAGCACTCTGTGTGGCAGGGACCATACTGCTTGCAGGGAGTACACCTTCAGTGGGCCTAACACACCCTCAGGAATTATGGTAGCGCAGGAAGGTACATGACACAAACACATACAGGGTACCACAGGAGCACTTTACTTTGTAAAATGAGTGACAGGCTGGGCCTTGCAGCCCTGGGCATATACTGGTGCTCTATATTTACAGCCAGCTGAGGGCCAAATTGTTAGTTTACTCTGAGAATGTCCAGCATGGTGATACATGCCTGCAATACCAGTACTCAAGAGGCTGAGGCAGGAGGATCACTATGAATTTGAGGCCAGCCTGGGCTTTGTAGTGAGTTCAAGGCCAGCCTGAACTACACCGTGAGACCCTGTCTCAAATAAGCACATAAGTTAATAATAAAATTTAAAAAGAAAGGCCTTGGGATATAGCTCAGCGGTAGAGTACTTGCCTAGTGTGTGAGGCCCTGGATTCAACCCCTGGTTCTGACTAGACAACTTGGAAAATTCTGCATGGACCACCTTTTGACCCAGACTACACTGGCATTTGACTTAGATGGAAAGACACCTTTCTTTCTTGTACAGCTTTGCAGCTTCTTTAACTTCTCTAAAAGCGTGGTCTACTTGACGGGCCAGCATGTCGTGCTTTAAGCGCTCTAAGAGGTTGACCATGTCATCGAAGACGGAGCTTTCCATGGAGGCCAGCTGTCCCAGCTGCAGCTTGCTGAGCGCATCACTCTCTGCCAGCACCTCCAACGCTGCCTGCTGAAGCTGCAGGAAAAACTGAAAGAAAAATGTGTTATCATGGTCACTAACACACTCCTGTAACCAGGTGAATGGCTATGCGCTCACTGGTGTAGGTGTCAATGGTTCCAGCAAATCTATCACCACAATATGGAATGTTTTCATTACCACCACCACCCTCAAGCCTCCAAAAATCCTGCAGGCTTAGTCCACACCGCCCTGTGCAACCACTAATCTGTCTCTGGATTTGCCTATCCTAAGTATTTTGTGTGAATGGAATCATGTAATGGCTTACTTCATGTAGCATAATGTTTCAGGGTATGTCCATGTTGTGACATGAGTTAATATGTGTTTCATTTCTTTGTAAAAATATTCTATTACATAGCCATTCTAGATCAAGGAAGAGGCACTGTCCTTGTAAGATCACGGACAGACCTCATGGGCTGAGAGCTGCTGAGGGCCACATGTTCACAGCCTGCCTGCAGTGCAACCAGAAACGAACATCAACATGGCTGTGCCTGATTTAGTGCATTACCCACCCACCAGAATGAGGTTTCTGTCACCTCCCCCTGAAAAATCCCTAATTCTGAGTGAGGGTGGATATTTCAGGTTTGGTATAATCTGATAACAGCAGAGTGTCTGAAATGAATGGAAAGTGAACTCTGCCTGTTTTTTTCCCCCTAATTATGTGTTATATGAGCTTTTTAGAAATTTATTTATTTATTTTTGCAGTATAGGGAATTGAATCCAGAGTTTTCAAACCAAGCATTCCATTTATTTATTTGTTTGTTTATTTATTTATTTTCAAACTCAGGACCTTGCACTTGTGAGGAAGGTGTGGCGCCACTGAACGAAATCCCCAGACCTTTTTATTTGCTGTTTTGAGACAGGCTCTTGATGGGATTACAGGTGTGCATCACTATACCTAGCTTTCTGGCTTTTTTTATTTATTTATTTTTTTGAGACAGGGTCTCGATCTACAATCCAGACTGGCCTTGAACTCATGGTATGTAGCCCAGGCAGGCCTCAAACCTGCCATCCTCCTGCCTCAGCCTCCCAAGAGCTGGATTAGAGGTGTGCATCACCACGCCCAACAATTTTAATGATTTTCTTTTAAAACATTCATGAATTGAAGAACTGTGAAAATAATTAAAGGACTTTTGATGTTAAGACAATCAGCACCGACAGAACCATGCTAGGGCACAGAATTCATTCAGAATTTGAAGAGTCAACTCTGAAATTTGCTTAGTTTTCTCTGTTGACAAAGGACCCAGATAATTCAACGTCAGCTTTTAAATTTTCTAAGGGAAGGGATAATGCCTAATTCAATAGACTATGGCACTAAGTCGGGTAGTTAATGATGTTCCACAAATAATTTCAATCAAGCTAAAAGTCTGTTCCTGAATGAGTCTCTTCTTAGATCATCTGGCATAACAACAAGAATGACGTTTGTTTCAGACTATTGAAAAAGCTTAGCAGTGTGGGGGCTGAAAAAATAAAGTACTTACTGAAATTAGAAACACTTCACAGAAAAGTACAAAATGAATCAATGTATGCTGATTAGCTGACTTAACAAACACACTGATCATTATTCTATTAATTTTATGAAATAATTTTCCTTGCTCAGCAGAATGACAACACACATGTATTTTAGTTAACATTTTTACAGAAAAACCCTAATTAGCCAGGTAAAGTAACTCATGCCTGTGATGCCAGCACTGAGGAAAACTGAGGCAGGAGGATAACAAGTTCAGGTCCTACCTGGGCAAAACCCTGTCTCAAAAACTGCAAAGGGCTGGGGATGGAGCTTGGTGCAAAAGCTCCTAGGATAAACTGGTTGATAGCCACGTGGAGCATTTCGTCCTGAGTGTGGAAGGTGCTGCTGGAGCTAAAACCCGGGGCCTGGTGCTGCAAGGCAGAGCACTGCACCACAAAGCCACAAAACCAGCCATTAAATAATTTTTGTGGTTTTTGTTGTTGTTGTTTTGTTTTGTTTTTTGAGATAGGGTCTTGCTTTGTAGTTCAGGCTGGCCCTGAACTCACTATGTAGCCCAGACTGGCCTCAAACTCTCAGCAAACTTCCTGTCTCAGCCTCCCAAATGCTGGGATCACAGGCATTCATCACCATGCCTGGCTCCTAAAATGTTTTAAATTAATTCACTTATTAGTGATACTGTGAGTTGAAACCAGGGAGCACTAATCTACATCTTCAGCCTTTTATTTTCCTAATTAAATTTTGAGGCAAGGTCTCCAATCTTCCTTTTGCAGCCTCCTGAATAGTGGGGATTACAAATATAAGCCACCAGCCTTGGCCAATAACTGGTCATATTTTGAAGACAATCAATAGTTAGGGCTGGGCATGGTGGTATGTGCTATAATCCCAGCACTTGGGAGGCCAAGGCAGTAGGATGGCTCCAGGTTCAAGACCAGCCTGGGCTACATAGTGAGATCCAGTCTCCAAAAACAAAACAGTTATCAAATGTTATTCTTTCGTTTTCTAACTAAAGGTTGTGGGGGTTTTTTGTTTGTTTGTTTTGTCTTGGGGTATTTGCTGGGGATCAAACCTAGATCCTCAAGCACGCAAGGCAAGTGCTCTATTACTGAGCTATTTTTATCCCTGTTCGTCCAATGATCAAATTCATTAAAACATCAGCATTAAGATGGGCATAATCCCAGTACTCTAGGAGGCTGGGGCAGGAGGTTCAGAAGTTCTGTCCCAGCTTGGGCAATAGCAACTTAGTGAGACCCTATCTTAAAATTTAAAAATTTTTAGGGATGAAGGGAGGGCAGGGACAAGGAAAAAATGAGAGCCAAGACCTGTCATGTAGAGGTACAAGATCCCAACAATGAATGTAACTGTACTGTATCCCTAAAATGTACCAATAAACTTAAAGCTGAAAAAAAAATTTTTTTTAATTTTTAAAATGCTGGTATATAGCTCAGAACTGAATTCAGGCCCTGAGTTCAATCCTGAGAACCACTAGATAGATAAATAAATAAATATCAGTATTATTTAACTATTTGATATTTGCCTAAGAAAGTGTCCCGTTTGGCATCATGGTGATTCTGTCTAACATGCATTATTTTTGTTTGCAATAAACACTTCAAAAGGCATGCCAGCACCAAATCCCTACTCCATTCCTTACTGTACAAGCACAAGACTCACAATGTTGTCAGCCCAGTCTGCGAGCACCACCGAGACGTAATTCACAGCATTGAGGATTGCACAGTACCGAAAGCCCAGTGGGGCCCTGGTCTCCTCCTTCATCACCTGTGTCAACCGTATCCTGAAGTCATCCACCAGGTCCTTCTGTAACTCCAGGAACTGCAGCTTCCGGGAGGCTGCAGGGAGGTTTTTATACCTGTCTGTGGAGAAAGCGAATGCAACACAAGGCTTTTGGGTAGCATCCGTGACAGTTACAGGTTTCCCCAACTAATCTGTTTTGCTTCCTTTGTCAAAAAGATCAACTGACCATTTGAGTATGAGTTTATTTATTTATTTATCTATTTATTTATTTATTTTTAGTACCTGAGATCAAACTCAGGACCGTGTACTTGCAAGGCCTGTGGTGGAACCACTGTGCTAAATCCCCAGCCCAAGTATGAGTTTTTCTAAGCTCTAAGGATATGAATTTCACAAGTCTGTCCAGACTCTTCAATCAGTCCACCTAAGAGTGGTGCATTTTACTGTATGTAAATTGTGCCTAAAGTTTTTTTTCAAGTTTTGATTAAAAAGATATATGAGGACATTATATTTAAAAACAGCTGTTCCTTTAACAAGTAAATGGCATTTTTTTAAATAAAGGAAAGATTAAATAAGATACATATTTAAGGATTGACAGGTAACCTGATATCTGAAATGTTTTAAAATACTCCAGGGGAAGCAGGACATGGTGGCTTATGGCTATAATCCCAGCATTCTTGGAGGCTGAGGCAGAAGGAATGCAGTTTTGAGCCCAGGATGATAAAGTAGACTTAGAAAGACTCTATCTCAAAATAAAAAACATGTAAAAGAGCTGGGAGTGTAACTCAATGCAAAGGCCTTGTGTTCAATCCCAAAAGCGCACACACACACGCACACACACACACACACACACACACACACACACAAAATACAGAGGGAGAAAAAAATATGAAACAGAATAGAAAATTGTTTGGAACTTTGGTAATGGCTAACTGAGAGTCTGTTTTATTATCCTACTTAATGTTTAGAAATCTTAAAAAGATTTTACCCTGCCTGGATGAATGTAAAGAAATGATCAGAAAAAAAGAGAACTGCATGCTAAAAAAGTTTTTAAAAGACACAAGTTTAGGGCCAGGGATTTAGCTCAGCGGTTTGGTGGCCTGCCTTGCAAGTGCAAGGACCTATGTTCAATCCCCGGTACCAAAAAAAAAAAAAAAAAAAAAAGACACAAGTTTAAAACTTTTAGAGCATCAGTGATTCTGCACAGATCCCAGGGAGCAGCGGTATCATCCAGACTGGTGCATCTGCAGGCAAATCCAAGCCAGAGATCTGCCCTGACCCCAGAAGCTGAGGAACACCCACCCAGCCCAGGGCCCACCTAGAAAAGAACTACACAGGCACACAAGTAAAAGCCAGAGGCTCGCCCCTATACGATTAATAAGTGCGTGGAGACCCTAGCCAGAAGCCTGCGCAGACAATGGGAACTGGGAAGCACAGCCCCCAGCCAAAGGCCCTCCCAGAAAAAACGTACATAGAGGCCCCCAGCAAGAGGCACACCTAGATACCATCCCAAGTGTGCTCAGAGCCCAGCCAGAAGCCTGCCCAGACAACGGGTGAGCTCAGGGATCCAGAAGGCCACCATTCTGAAGCCAAGAATTGGTGTACTAGAGAGCAGCAGAGAAAAGGCTGCTCAGTGGCTTGCGGAGAATTGAAGACTACTGGGTGAGCAAAAAGTTACCTCAACGAAAGCTCAGGAGGCTGCATCTGTTGAAATGAGAAGACACATAAACAAGTCCCAAAACCAGACTTCCAGATCACCTAAGGCAAATCCAAAGGGAAATAAGATGGAACAATCTTGATACTCAACCACCTGGACTCCCTGAACTGGCAACAAAAGAGGATCTGTGAAAAATGAAATCAGAAATAATTTCTCAGATAACAGCAGAGATTGTGCCCATAGTGCAGACATGATTAATTTAAAGCAGACACAGATTAAAAGGCGGGGGCAGAGATTTAGCTCAGTGGTTCTGGTTCCTGCCTTGCAAGTACAAGGACCCAAGTTCAACCCCTGCAGGGTAAAAAACAAAAATTAAAATATTTAAAAAATAAAAAATAGAGGAGCTGAGGAACATGATGGAATCCCAACATAGTAAACAATTGAAATCCACAAAACAGATGCAAGTAGATTTCCAGGAGATTAAAAACCCCACTGAAAGTTTATGTAGCAGAATGAGCCAATGCAAAGACATAATTTCAGGTATAGAAGATAGGATTGCAATTAGTGACCAGGAAAATAAAAATTTCTTAAAAATAGGGACCACAAGAAATCAATCCAGCAGCTGCTAGACGATGCAAAGGAAAATAACATAAGCCTGATCAAAGTCAATGAAGCAATGGAAGAGAGTACAGATGATATAAAAACACTGATTACAGAAGTAATGGCAGAAAACATCTAAAGTAGAAGACGATGACATACAGAAAAATGAGGCATATAGGACTCCAACTAGCCATGATAAAAAAAATCTATACATAAGCATATAATAGTTAAGATTCCTGAAACCCAATGAAAGAACAAAATTCTATAAGCAGTTAGAGAAAAGAAACAAATCACATACAAAGGAAGCCTATCAGAATCACAGCAGACTTCTCAACGCAAACCCAGAAGGGAAGAAGAGTTTAGAATGATGTATTTCAAGCCCTAAAGGAAAATAGCCTCCAACCTAGACTGATACACTTTGCATAACTATCTTTCAATATTGATGGAGAAATAAGATACTTTCATGACAAAGGGCACCTTAGGAACTTCATGAATACCAAGCCAGCACTCCAAAATATTTTAAACAATATCATAGGAAAAGACAACGAGGATCACAGCCCCAGGAAGCCCAGCAGAATGAATCCATTAGGCACAACAAGAAATTAAACACAAAGGGGGAGAATCCAACAAAGAGAAAAAGTCATGACAAGAATAAGTCGGTACATAAAAGTTATAACCATCAATGGTAATGTTCTCAATTCACCAATCAAAAGAACTAGACTGGCAGAATGGTGCAACAAGCAAGATCCAACAACATGTTGCATAAAAGAAACACACAAGTCAGATGGTCTTTTTTTTTTTTTTTTTTAGGTACCAAGGATCAAAGTCAGGACCTTGTGCTTGTGAGGTGGGAGGTGGAACCACTGAGCTAAATCCTTGGCCCCAAAACACACTTAATTCAAAAAGAGACTCACAGAATGAAAGTTAAAGGGTGGAAAATGATACTCCATGCAACAGGATCCCCCCACCCAAAAAAAGCAGAAGTAGCTATCCTCTTTGCAGATCAAGTGGATTTCAAACCCAATACTGATTAAGAGAGACAAAAAAGGACACTACATCCTTCTGGTGATCTTTTTTTTTTTTTTGGTACTGGAAATCAATCTCTGGTCCTTGTGCTTGTGAGGCAGGCGGTAGAACAACTGAGCTAAATCCCTGGCTCCAAGGACACTACATCCTTGTAAAGGGAACAATCCAAGAGGAATAGATGACACTCATAAATATATATGCACCAAACACTAGTGAACCCAACTATATAAAACAAATACTAATGGACATGAAAAATCAAATAAGCACTAATACAATAGTAGTGGGGGGCCCAATATCCCACTGTCACAAATAGATCAACTAGACACTAAACAATGAAATACTAGAACTGAAACTCTTGAACAAATGTTTACAGATGTTTACAGAGTGCTCCACCCCACAAAATCAGAATACACATTCTTTTCAGCTGCACATGGGTCATTCTCCAAAACAGACCACATACTCACTCATAGAACATATCTAAGTAAGTGCAAAAGAACTGAAGTGATCACCTGTATATTATCAGACTATAGTGTGATGAAAATGGAGATAAATAGCAAAAGAAACTGAAAGAATTTCATAAACACATGGAAATTGAACAACACAGTTCTGAATAACCAAAGGGTGACAGAAGAAATTAAAGAAGAAATCAGACAGTTCCTACAATTAAATGACAACGACAATACAACATACTGGAATCTACGGGACACAATGAAAGCAGTCTTATGAGGGAAATTCATAGCAGTGAATACTCCTATTAGGAAAACAGAGTGAGTGCAATTAAATAACCTGATGCCAAACCTCAAGCTTCTAGAAGAAGAAGGGCAGGACAAAGTCAAAGCTCATACAAGGGAGGAAATTATAAAGATCAGAGGAGAAATCAATGCAATGGAGACTAAAAGAATGATTCAAAAAATCAATGAGGCCAAGAGTTGGTTCTTCAAAAGAATAAACAAAATTGACAAACCCTTAGCCAACCTTATCAAAGGAAAGAAAAGGCCCAAATCCATACAATTAAGAATGAAAAGGGTGAAATTACAATGGACCCAGCAGAAATCCAGAGGACCATTAATACTTACCTTGAGAACCTATATGCCAATAAGATGGAAAATACCAAAGAAACAGACAGATTACTAGATTTGTATGAATTACCAAAGTTGAACAAAGATGACCTAAAAATCCATGACATTGAAAATATAATTAAAAACTTACCAACTAAGAAAAGCCCAGGCCCTGATGGCTTCACTGCTAAATTCTATAAGACATTTAGAGAGGAATTACTGCCACTATTGTTTAAATTCTTCAGTGAAATTGAAAAGGAAGCAATACTCCCAAATTCATTCCTGGAACCAAGCATCACCTTGATCCCCAAAGCAGAGAAAGACCCATCCAATAAAGAGAACTATAGGCCAACCTTACTAATGCAAAAATCCTTAATAAGATACTGGCAAATAGAATGCAGAAGTTCATCAAGAAGATCATACACCCTGACCAAGTGGGATTCATCCCAGGGATGCAGGAATTGTTCAACATATGCAAATCAATAATGTAATACACTACATTAATAGAGCCAAGGACAAAAAACATATGATCATCTCAATAGATGCAGAGAAAGCATTTGACAAAATCTAATACCCATTCATGATAAAAACTCTACAGAAAATTGGAATAGATGGTCTTTATCTCAACCTGATAAAAGCCACTATGAAAAACTAACATCCAATATCATACTAAATGGTCAAAAACTGAAATCTTTCACACTAAAATCAGGAACAAGACAAGGATGTCCATTATCCCCATTCCTGTCCAACACAGTTTTGGAAACATTAACCACAGCAATAGACAAGAGAAAGAAATAAAAGGAATAAAGATAGGAAATGAAGAAGTCAAATTATCATTATTTGCAGATGACATGATACTCTACATAGAAGACCACAAGAATTCCACCAAAAGTCTTCTAGACTTCATAACCAAATTCAGTAAAGTAGCTGGATACGAGGTCAACACACAAAAATCAACAGCTTTCCTGTACACGAAAAACAGAGTCACTGAGAGAGAAATGGGGCAATCAGTTCCTTTCACAATAGCATCCAAACAACTGAAATACCTAGGAATCCACCTAACAAAAGAAATCAAAGACCTCTACTCTGAAAACCACAGCACTCTGAAAAAAGAGACTGAAGAAGATATCAGAAAATGAAAAGACACCCCTTGCTCCTGGGTGGGAAGAATCAACATAGTGAAAATGGCCATACTTCCAAAACTGCTATATAGATTCAATGCAACCTCAATTGAAATTCCAGCATCATACTTCACAGACCTTGAGAAAACAATCCAAAAATTCATTTGGAACAAGAAGAGACATAGAAGGCAATACAGACAAGGTAGGGGATATCACAATCCCCAACTTGAAACTATACTACAAAGCTACTGTGATAAGAACAGCATGGTACAGGCAAAGAAACAGACCTGAGAACCAGTGGAACAGATTAGAAGATTCAGAAACAACTCTAGACATACTCAGCCACCTCATCTTTGACAAAGGAGCCAGATACCCTCACTGGAGTAAAGATACCCTCTTTAATAAATGGTGCTAGAAAAACTGGGTTTCAACTTGCCAAAGATTAAAACTAGACCTATATCTCTCACTATACACTAAACTAAAATTGAAATGTATTAAAGATCTAAATATTAAAACAGATACTAAACTGGCTGGAATAGAGGTTAGGTAGAACTCTTAAAGACACTGGTGTAAGAAAAGAGTGTATGAACAGAACCTCAGCTGTACATGAACCAGTGCAAACAATTAACAGATAGGATGTCTTATTAAAAAGCTTCTGCACAGCAAGAGAAACCAACAGTGTGAAGAGACAACCCACAATGTGGGAAAAAATTTTCACCAGTTGTTCCTCAGACAAAGGTCTACTATCTAGAATATATAAAGAACTTAAAAAATCAGACCTCCCAAATTTAAAGACCCAATCCAAAACGGGCATCTGAAATGAACAGACATTTATCAAAGAAGTAAAAGTAGCAAATAAACATATGAAAAAATGTTCAACATCACTGGTCATTCGAAAGATGCAGATGAAAACAACGCTGAGATTCTACCTCATCCCAGAAAGAATGGCTGCTATCATAAAATCAACCAACAACAAATGCTGGTGGGGTTGTGGGAAAAGAGGAACACTGCTCCACTGCTGGTGGGAGTGTAGATTGGTGCAATCACTGTGGAAATCAGTATGGAGATACCTCAAAGAACTAGGATTGAAAGTCCCATTTGACCCAGCTAGACCCTTGCTGGGTATCTTCCCTTAAGAATGAAAAGAATCATACCACACTGATTGCCTAATCCCTGGAGTTCAATGCTAGCCTTGGCAATATAGCAATGCCCTGTCTCTTAAGAAATAAATAAAACGGGATGGGGAAGTAGCTCAGTGGGACCATACCTGCCTGGCAATTGTAAGGTCCAGTACCCCACACACACACACACACACACACACACACACACACACACACAAAAGAAAAATTGTTGGTTAGTCATCACTTACTGAAGAACCCTGTAAAGCTGAATGGCAAAAAGACAAACAAAACACAAAGGACAATAAATAAAACAGAAAAAGAAAAAATACAAAAAAAAAAAACCAAAAAAACTTGAGTGGCAAGAGAGTTCAGGTAATACAACTAAACTCTGACTTGTTTTTATGTAACCATTCAGAAAATTATCCTTCATCTATTCCAATGTTTAAGTCCTAACTTATATTACTAAAAACCCAGGGCCAGGGATTTAGCTCAGTGGTGCCCCAACTGCCTGGCAAGCACAAGGTTCTAAATTTGATTCCTGGTACCAAAAAATAAATAAATGAATAAATCCAAATACATCATGAGCTAGACTCCTACTAAAATAGCAGCTGAATTTGAAGATATGATAATAACCACAGCATACTAACTTTTATGAACTACTAGGAAAAGTACCTAGTGAAAAGTCAGTATTTCATTTATTTATTTATTTTTGGTACTGGGGATTAAACTTGGGACCTTGCACTTGTGAGGCAGGCAGCGGCACCGCTGAGCTAAATCCCTGGGCCAACAGTCAGTATTTTAAAACAAAGTCCTATTTTTTTTTCCAAGACAGGGCTCACTGTGTTCCTTCCATAGGCTGGTCTCCAGGCACAGTCCTCCCACCTGACTTCCAGAGTAGCTGGGATTTCACTCTGAGCCACCATGCCTGCTCAGAGGCAGATCGATTCTGTTTATTTTTGGTTTTTTGTTTTTTGAGCTAGGGTCCCACTGTGTAGTTCAGAACTCACTATGTAGCCTAGACTGGCCCAAACACACAGCAATCTTCCTGCCTCAGCCTACCGAGTGCTGGCATTACGGGCATGTGCTATCACGCCGAGTCAAAGGCATATCCTTAGCAACTGATAATTACCAGTTATAACCAAGAGTAGAGTCATAAAAGTCTCTGCACAATCTGGAACTTTCATTTCATCCACATCAGTGATATCCTTATACTGGGATACCCAGGCCGCCTCTGATGAAAGCATCGAGTCCATTTTTTGAAGAGCAACTGATATGAAGAAAAAAGGATGTCCATTAAAGAGCTGTAGTCATTCCTAATTTTCAACTCACTGTTTGTTAGGAATAATGATTTTTTTTGTACCAGGGTTTGAACTCGGGACCTTGCACTTGTGGAGGCAGGCAGTGGAACCACTGAGCTAAATCCTGGCTGTCTTTCTTTTATTTTTTGATAATTAAATTTTTATTTTATTTATCTGGGGGGAGGGGAATTGAGACAAGGGCTTGCTATGTAGCCCAGGTTGGTCATGATGATCCTCTTGCTTCTGCTCCCGAGTGCTGAGATTACAGGCAGGCGCCACCATACCCAGCTAGGAGTAATGAACTTTTTCTATTAAAAACCATCTCCCAATAGTTGCACTGTATTTAAAAATGTTCCATTTTGGGATACAAATCTTCAAAATTTTTATGCTGAGTAGACAAGCTACATCGAAAAAGATTCTACCAAGAGCAGAAATACTATGTGGTAAAATCTATAAAATAGCTGTATGGTCTCCTGGCTCGAATAGTCCACTGTAGAAATGTGTGGAATATAATGCCAGGAAAAACTGAAATTTCATGGGAAGAAAAGGAAAGAAGATTCTCTCTGAAGGTAACTCTATAAACTCAAATCAAGAAAAATCTAGGGCTGGGGATTTGGCTCAGTGGTTCTGCCACCTCCCTCACAAGCAAGCACAAGGGCCCAAGTTCGATCCCCATTACCAAAAAAAAAAAAAAAAAAAAAAAAATCTAGGTGGCTAGTTCCTACCCAAAAGTAGAGAAAAACACCATACACAAAGAGACATCTCTCCCTACCCGGTGGCCACTGTACTTACATTTTCTCTCTACAGTCAACCATCGCTGAAAACAGGTCTCCTCACACAGGATGTACATACAGTTGGCAAAAGTGCTTGGGTAGCCGTGAGCACTGTGAAGCTCCCTTTCAAACAGGAGCACTTCGTCCACCAGGTGACAGAAGAGATTGTCATCATACAGCAGACAAGGGATATCTGAGGCCAACTTCTCAAGAACCAGCATCGTAAGGCCCCGAGAAAATTCAAGCTAAAGGAAGGCGTAAACGTGAGGTACGTAAGCAATAAGGTATTGTTCAGGTATCTCACAGGTGGAGTCTGAAACATTCAGGACCGCGTGCCTTACCCGTGCATTTACTGCAGAGCCTGCTTTATCTAATATTGGCTGAATCTTCTCATCCAGAAAATGAGTGTGGTTTCCGATCCACATGAGTACCTGAGCCAGGTACCATTCGGGCTGGGGAACAAGGTAAAATGGTTTAAATTCTTTAGTCCAACTAGAAAATTATAATTAAATGTCTCTAAATATGAACACATAATACCTAACGAAAATTAGTTGAAAGTTTCTTAAATGCAAGGTACAATTTCTATTCTGAACTTTAAGCTTGTGAAAGGCTTAATAAGCAGACATTTCTCAGTACACTTTATAACAAACACCAATAATGTGACTAAGTCAATACACTCATGAACTTAAAATACCACTTTGGGGCTAAGGGTATAGCTCGGTAGTAGACAGTTTGACCAACCTGCACAAGGACTGGGTTTAATCTCCAGTGCCGTGAAGCAAAATGAAAAAAGGTATGTATATTTAAAACCTAGCACTTTAGTAATAGGTAAAATGATGAGTACTGTACCACAAGAAGCAATGGCATTTAAACTATCTTTTTGTTCGTTTGTTTTTGTTTTGTTTTGGTACCAGGAATTGAATGCGGGCCCTTGCACTTGCAAGGCAGGTGGCAGAACCACTGAGCCAAATCCCTGGCCCTAAACTGTCTTTTTTTTTTTTTTTTTTTTTTTTTTGGTACTGGGGATTGAACTTGGGTCCTTGTGCTTGCAAGGCAGGCAGCCAAACCGCTGAGCTAAATCCCAGGCCCCCTAAACTGTCTTTTGAAATAGCATTCCAAAAAATTTAAAAATATTATTTACTCCTCTTTTTTTTTTTCTTCCTTTTTCTTTTTTTGGTACTGGGAATCAAATTTAGGACCTTGCCTTTGCCAGGCAGGCGCAGCACCACTGAGCTACATCCCCAGCCCCCCTCCCTTTTTTTTGGTGTTTTTGAGACAGGGTCTCACTATGTATTTGAGACTGACCTGGAACTCACTATGTAGCCCAGGCTGGTCTCGAACTCACAGTGATCCTCCTGCCTCAGCCTCCCGAGTGCTGGGATTACAGGCATGCGCCACCACACCCAGCTGCTTTTTTCTTTTCAAAAGGCAAATTAAGAAAAAATTGGCTGGTCTATATTATAGAAAACAAACAAACAAATAAACAACAATGCCTTTAAACAGAAAAAGAAGCAAATGCTCTACTGTCTTTTGGCTTTGGTATAAAAAGGGAAATATAGGCCTGGTGTGTTTTAAATCGCCCCTGGAGATGATTTTGCAAGCATTCTGAGTTTTGTTGGACAAGGGTTCAAAAACACTGAACACTAAGTTCCCGTGTGCGTGAGATGTTGGGAACAGACTAAACGAGTCAGCGCGGCTTAAGGACCGTGCTGTTGGAGCTCGATGTGGGGATGTGGGAATGTGGGTCTGTGGACGCACACTGCATAAAGCAGCCACATAACTTGTAATTTTCTTACATCAAATTATTACTGCTTCTCTAAGACTTCAGGTTTATTGTTTTGTCTCATTCACTACTTAATTCTCCTTCCAACAAAACTCCATACAAAAAAGGAGCCCCAGTAAGTGCACAAAGAAACCCACTGCCACTCTGCTCCTCCCTGTGCAAACATGAGGGCCTCTCCCGTGACTTCTTTACAACTCTAGGAAGCCTTTAAGTTCAGTTGCCTTACACGTGTGGTGCCCAGTGATCTGGCACATGACAACATATTTAAAATATCTACTGAGGGCTGGGGATTTAGCTTAGTGGTTCCACTGCCTGCCTTGCTTCCTTTCACATGCAAGGACCCAAGTTGGTTCCCCGGTACCAAAATAGATAGATAGATAGATAGATAGATAGATAGATAGATAGATAACAGATAGATAGATAGATAGATAGATAGATAGAAAGAATAAAATATCTACTGAGCCCCTGCTACATACACTGTATTAGCTACAGCAAAACCTGAGAGTAAACAAGATGGTACTCAATTTTTCAGTAATTTCTAACATTATAATTTGATCAATTTTTCAGGCAGAATTAAAGAAAAATCTCAACAATATGCCCAATATGATCCCCCATTTAAAATGCTGGTAGTAACTTCTTGAAAACTATTCACATCATTTATTTCATTATCTTCCTTGTATAGCTATAAATGATTGCAACATTAGCACCTTTATTCAAAAGCTGTGACTCACTGGATACAGTGGTGCATGCCTATAATCCCAGCTACTTGACAAGCTGAGGCAGTAGGATGGCAAGTTCAATGCTAGCCTGGACAACTTAGTAAATTCTAAAATTTTTAAAAAGTGGAAAAGGACTGGTGCTCAGTGGTAGGCCACTTGCCTAGCATGTGTGAGGCCCTAATTCATTCTCCAGTACAGCCAAAAAAGAAAGAAAGAAAAAAAAAAGCCAATGCTCTCCCATCTTCTGGTATTTGCTTGTCTGTTGTATACTTGTAAGTTTGCGGGAGCAATTTGTACAGTGAAACATATATGCAAACAGTTGTAAAACCTGCCGCAGGTCATGCTATAGCATACTCTAGGCAAATCTGAGAAACTGGTTAAATGATATGTCCTAGCAATTTAAGGTAGGAAAAACAGAAATGTGAACAGAGGCGCTTTTTGATTATACTGAGAATCCAACCTAGGACCATTCTGCCACTGAGCTACATAGGGAGATCCTGACCCATACAGAAAGAAAGAGAGAGGGTGGACGGGGGAGAGAAAAGAAAAGAAGGAAAGGAAAGGAAAGGAAGCAGGCCAAAGCAAGAACAAACACAAGAGCTGGCAAAGCACACCTTGCTTATGACATTAGTCTGCCGGTTGCCACGGAAGTGGTAACGGAACCTCTTCTGGAGGGGACTCAGCATGATCTGGATGGGCAGGATGACAGGAGGTGACGCAGGGAGACAGTATTTCTCTGGCAGTTGTTCTGGCTCAGTAAGTAATTCATCTCTGACATAGTCAAGTCAAGGAGAAACTAAAGCATTACACACAATAACTCTTCCCAACAAAGGTATCAGTACAAAATTATAATACAGATATGTAATCTACACTAAACACAAATTCTGTAAGTGAAGAAAAATGTTATTAGAATTTATCTGTAAATCTTTCCTAAAATAGAGTAGTAGTAAAAAATTAAATTTACATTTTCATTTGATTAAACTAATGCTTTGCTAAGTTTTCTCCCACCTGCTCATTTGTTCCATTTATATGTGATGTGAACTTGGGTCAGTTGCGTGTCTCAGAATTCTTTTCTTTCTGGGTTTCTCAGATAGGGTCTCACTATGTAGTTTATGCTGGTCTCGAACTCACTACATAGCCCACACTGGCCTCAAACTCACGTGGATCCTTCTGCCTCAGTCTCCCAAGTGCTGGGATGACAGGAGTGCACCTCCTCACCCAGCACATCTCAGAACTCCATAGTGGCCCTCCTGCCCCTATACATAACTTCATGAGAGAACAGGCCACACCTTCTGGCCACTTTGAACAAGTTTAACTTTCTAACTACAAATCCACTCTAGAAAGAAATTTTAGTTAGTTTTCCACTCCAACAAAGATACGAGGTTTGTAGTTTCAGCAGCTGACAAAACAGCGTCTCCAGGTTGCCACAGAGTTCAGGACTGCTGGCAGGCCGGTTCACAGCCACGGCCTGAGACTGCGGAGGTGCAATGAATGGCCAGTGAAGCTGGATTAAAATCTCCTCAAAATCACTGGAACAGAAAAAACACGCATTTTAGTGCAGTGCCGCCAACAATTGCCAAACATACATCTGAAAGCAAGTGCCATGAAATATGGCCGAATCCCCTACCTTGTAAGCTTGTCCTTGAGAATCTTGTGCCAGAACTTAACCGTGGCTCTCATGAAGCCAAGAAGATGTGCACACGATGATTCCCGAAGCTTGATATCCAGCTGTGTCATGGCCACCAGGGTAGAGGCTGCCTCCGGCACATTGTTGGTCATCAGATATTGCTGAATATTATCACTGCAAAACAAAGCAAAGCAACTTTAACAACAGTTTCTCAGAATTCTGTGATCCTGCTGCCTTGGATTCCCAGGGTGCTGGGATCGCAGGTGTGCACCACCATGCCTGATGACCTCAGGTTTTACTAAGTTATAGCCAAGAGGGAAGTAGCGGTATGTGCCATTAATTCCAGGTATTCTGGAGTCTGAGGCAGGAGGTTAGGAGCTGGACAGCCTGGACACTTAGTGAGACCCTGTCAAATTTTTAAAAAGGCCTGGGGTGTAGCTCAGTTGTAGTTACATCCAAGGGAGCATGAAGCACAATCCTGAAGTGACTGTATTTCACCTGGCACCCGAGTCTCTGGGATCCTGGAGTCATCTGAGCACCCTTCTACTAGCAGCAGCCCCTGTTCAGGACACCTTCCTCTACCAAATGTCCCCAGGAGAACACCTCTGTCCCTTATCACATTACCTCAGGTACCACTCATTGCTCTTACAGAAGTCTTAATCCAAGGGAATAACATGGGTAGCACCTGGTATGGTCAAGTATATTCATCCTTAATCCCGGCAGAACTTGATTTCCCACTTTGAAGAAATATATTCAAACGAAGTGTTGTATTACATTAAAAATAAAAACTGCCATGCCCAACCAATGTGCAAATGTTACAAAAAATTTTAATGCACCAATAACCACAGAATATAGGATACCACTTTCTAGGATGACAGGTCTCTCTACACATCACTAACACAGGAAGGACATTTCGACCATAGAAAAAGCCAGAGTACTGGTGTTCACTCAATGGTACTGCTGTACTGTAGTATGCACAAAATGGAATAAATACAAAGATGCTAGTTCCAGCAAGAAGAAACTGAAGAGAGAGAGTGAGAGAGAGAGCGAGAGAGAGAGAGAGAGAAGAGACAGATAAGACAGGTAGGAAGAACACCATAGAATAAAAACCAGGCCATTAAAAGGAAATTTGGAGATGAAGAAAATCCCAGAAACTCAAGTGAAAGCTGTTATCATAAAAGACCTAAAGGAAAGAACACTTTTTTTTTTTTTTTTGTACAAGGGATTGAACTCAGCCAAATCCCTGGCCCTACAGAGAAATAACTGATACTTCATTATAAATTTGATTCTCATTTATAATATGATCTCATGGGCATATTTTTCTTTTAAACAGTTCAGGTATCAGAAAAGATAATCCATAACCATTGTCCTATTTTAGTTCATCTGTTACTTTGGCTACTATGACAGGGAGACCTTTAAACAATTCATTTTACTTAATAAGGTTATTAGTATTACTCCTTATTGGTATTTTCATTCAGATGGACAAGGAAAAAATAAAGTAAAATAAGAGTAAGGTTTAAAATTTCTTCACTGCAGGGCCGGGGATTTAGCTCAGTGGTGCCACCACCTACCTCACAAGCGCAAGGTCCCAAGTGTGATCCCTGGTACAAAAAAAATCCTTCACTGCAAATAATTTAAACAAGAATGAGAGGCTCTAAAAAGCTTAAGTCAGTTTCTGTAATCACTACAGTCTTATGATTCTTGCTTTAAATATAAAACCCTTCATATATGCAAAACAAATTTTCATACATAAAATGCTTGACCATCTTAGGAAACAGGTACAGGACAAAGGACACACAGCATATCCATATGTAACTATACTACATTTTAAACAAGATATTAAGTCTCTTGGATGATTTTTCTCCTTCATGGTTGCTTTGCAGCAAGAATAGCTAAAACAATGTAAAATGTACCACTTGGAGGCCCGAGGGATACTATCACTAAACAATTCATTATCTGCTCATTAGGTAGAAATGTTTCTTTGGCTTATTTGAAAGGCCTGATTAAAAAAAGAAAGCTGAGAAGGATCCAACCAAAAAAAAAGAGAACTACAGGCCAATCTCTCTAATGAACATAAATGCAAAAATCTTCAATAAGATACTGGCAAACAATGCAACAAATCATCAAGATGATCATACACCCTGACCAAGTAGGATTCATCCCAGAGATGCAGGGATGGTTCAATACATGCAAATCAATAAGTGTAATACACAACATTAACAGAACCAAGGACAAAAACCATTATGACCATCTCAACAGATGCAGCAAAAGCATTTGACAAGACAAACATTTGTGATAAAAACCCTACACAAAATTGGAATAAATGGTCTTTACCTCAATCTGACAAAAGCCATCTATGACAAACCAACAGCCAACATCATACTAAATGGACAAAAACTGAAAGCTTTCACTCTAACAGCAGGAACAAGACAAACTATCACCATTCTTATTCAATACGGTTCTAAGAACATTAGCCAGAGCAATTAGACAAGAGAAAGAAATAAAAGGAATAAGGATAGGAAAGAAAGAAGTTAAATTATCATTATTTGTGGATGACATGATACTCTATGTAGAAGCCCCCAAAACTCCACCAAAAGACTTCTAGATTTACTAACCAAATTCAGTAGCATAGCTGGATACAAAGTAAACACTCAAAAGTCAATACATTCCCAAACAAATAACAAACTGACTGAGAGATAAGTTAGGGAAACAACAGCTTTCATAATAGCATCCAAAAACAATGAAATGCCTAGGAATCAATCTATTGAAGGAAATAAAACGCTTTTACATTGAAAACTACAGGACTCTGAAAAAGGAGATAAGAGAATATCAGAAAATGGAAAGATATCCCTTGTTCTTGAGTACAAAGTACCAATATATTGAAAATGGCCATACTTCCAAAATTGTACAGATGTGATGCAATCCTGATCAAAATACCAACAGCATACCACACAGAATTCATTTGTAACCGGAAGAGACCTGGAATAACTAAGGCAATTCTAGGCAACAGAAACAAGTCAAGGCATCACAATCCCTGACCTGAAACTATACTACAAAGCTACTGTATTAAAAACAGCATGGTACTGGCAAAGAAACCGATCTGAGGATCAGTGGAACAGATTAGAAGATGCAGAAATGACTCCAGACACACTCAGCCACCTTATCTTTGATAAAGGAGCCAGAAACCCTCCCCAGAAGAAAGAGCCTCTCTAATAAATGGTGCTGGAAAAACTGGCTTTTTGCATGCTCTGAAACCAGACCCATGTCTCTCACCATGCACTAACCTAAAATTGAAGTGGGTCAAAGATCTAAGTAGAAAACAGAAACACCAAATCTGCTGGAAGAGAGAATAGGTAGAATGCGTGAGGACATAGTAGTAGGCAAAGACTTCATGAACAAAACCCAGACTGCACAAGAAATACTATAAAGAATCAACAACTAGGACCTCTTCTTATTAAAAAGCTGCTGCACAGCAATAGAAACCACCAACAGAGAGAAGAAACAACCCACAGTATGGGAAAAAAAATTTTTGCCAGCTATTCCTCAGACAAAAGACTACTATCTAGAATATATATAAAGAACTAAAAAAATCAGACTCCCCCCAAATTTAAAGACCCAATCCCAAAATGGGCATCTGAGATGAATAGACACTTCTCAGATGAAGAAGTAGAAACAGCAAATAAACATATAAAAAAAAATGGTCAACATCACTGGTCATTTGAGAGATGCAAATTAAAACAATGCTGAGATTCCACCTCACTCCAGAAAGAATGGCTGCTATCAAGAAATCAACCAATAACAAAGGCTGAAGGGGCTGTGGGGAAAAAGCAAAACTTCTCCACTGCTGGTGGGAATGTAGACTGATGCAACCACTGTGGAAATCAGTGTGGAGATTCCTCAAAAAGCTAAAACTAGAGGTTCCATTTGACCCAGCTATTCCCCTTCTTGGTATCTTCTAGAAAGAATTAAAAGCATCCTATCACAGTGATATATGCACACCCAAGTGTATAGCAGCACAGTTTGTAATAGCTAAATCTTGGAAGCAACCCAAATACCCATCAACTGATGATGGATAAAGATGATATGTTTTTCATACAATGGAGTACTGCTATGACATAAAGAAGAATAAATGAGATATTTCTAGATGGATGCACTTGAGACCATACTCTTAAGTGAAATAAATCAGGCACACATATTTAAATACTGCATTGTTTCTCTGGTACAAGAAACAAAATGTAAGTAAGGACCAAAATGTGTAATAGATATTGGAAAATGGGAAGAAAATATTATCACGACGAGGGGAACAAGGAAGAGGGGAGGGGGAAAGGAAAGAAAGGACAAGAAAAATAAGACAATAGAAAGAAAAGATGCAAACAAAGCTTTTGTAAATAAGGAGAGGAAGGGCCTGGATGTAGCTCAGTGATACAGTACCTGCCTGGTAAGCTAGAGGCCCTGAGCTCAATTCCCAGTACCAAAAAAAAAAAAAAAAAAAAAAAAAAAAAAAAAAAGGAGGGAGAGGTGTTGATGGTAGGCGAAGGGAATGGGGAAAAAAAAATAAGCAAGATATATCATATACAGGTACAAATCCTCTATGATGAATGTTATCAGTAGGAACATTTCATGTACCAACAAAAAATAAATTAATTAATAAAAGAAAGGCAACATCATATATTCACAATCAACCAATGGTGCTATGTATTCAAAAAGAACCCCCCCACACACCTTACTGACAGGCAGTAGGGCTCTGTTATTCATCTAAGACTACTGTAAAAGTCTTATTAGATGATCCCCACTAAACATAAAATTCAAACTCTAGAGAAAGTAATCCATTTCATTTAGGGACAGTCCTAAAAATTAGATAGGAATACCTATTACCACACTGAGAGTTTGTTTCACTACTTTGGCATTCTAAATGATATCTTTACTATGTTCTTAGCACCATTCTAAGACTTAAAAATTTAACTTACTTAGATTACTTTCTTTCAAATGCAAATTAAACTCGTTGAAAATTTATATTCATTCACAATAAAGGAAAAGAATCATTATCATAATGCTATTTTCATAACAACTGGTAAAATTACATTATTATAATCTTTAATTAACTCAATTATTTAATGGCAAGCATGCACTCTGTAAAACAGAGCCTCAAAGGAAAATAATAATTATGAGAACAAAGAGGCCCATTTTACCTCAGTTCTTCAATTTGTGAAATCCACTTAAGGTAGGCAAGATGCCTTTCAATCTCTTCGATTTGGCTAATCATGGCCCCAAGATCATCCATCCAGGGCTGCGAGGTCAGCAGGTGGCTACTAATGGAACTGAAGAGATGAGTTTCTTGTTCCAGAAACTGATTAAGAAGTTGTTTTGATTCTTCTGCATTTTGTAAGGCACTCTGAATTCTTTTAGGAATTTCTGATGAAATTGTAAGTACCTAGCCATCACCAAAAAAACAACAACAAAAAAAACAAAACAAAAAAGAAGCAGCAATCATAAAATTTTCATAATCTCTTTTGCTAAAACACATCATTCTAAGGACTAAGAAATGGAGGAGTCAGAGGGAGGGGAAGGAGATGAAAAAAGAATTAGGATGTGTTATGTACATGTACCAATTCCCCGCAGTGAATGTGATTATTATGTACTGCAAACGTGCATTAATAAAAATAAAAAGCAATCCCTTCTGAATACATGTTCATTCTAACAGACAGGAATAAAACTATTAAAAACTTCAAAAGCCACTAGGTATGGTGGTGCACTCCTGAAATCCCCTAGGGAGGCTGAGGCAGTAGGATCACAGTGAACTCAAGGCTAGCCTAGACTGCTTAGTGAGTTCAAGTTCAGCCTCAGCTACATAGTGAGAGCTAGTCTCAAAAAACAAAACAAAAAACTTCAATCCCCAATGCCAAATAAATAAATCAACTTCAAAGGAAAGTCTTAATTTCTTTGTCCTATACCAATGAAACCAAATATGCTCTCTGTAAGAATATGAGCATGCACATATAAAGAATGCCCAACCACCCAGCCTCCAACAAATATCTAGGATCTGTCGTTCTAGGCTCGGTTCTTTCAGTGTCCGGCCAGAGACCACCTGATTTACCTATTAAATATTTTCCTTTAAGCCGGGCATGGTGACACATCCTGTAATCCCAGCACTCAGGAGGCTGAGGCAGGAGGATTGCTGTGAGTTCAAGACCAGCCTAGGCTACACAGTCAGTTCCAGGTCAGTCTCAAATACATAGTGAGATCCTGTCTCAAAAAGGTGTTTTTTTTTCCTTTAAAAGTCAGTGAAGTCTGGCATGGTGATGCATGCCTGTATTGCCAAGGCTCCAAGGCTAGGAGGACTGCCATAAGTTCAAGGACAGCCTGGGCTACATAGTGAGTATAAAGCCAGCCTGAACTACATAACGAGACCCTGTCTCAAAACAAAAACAAAACCAAAAATAAGTCAGTGAAGCTCTTGTTGCTTCTGCTGTCTTCCTCCACCATAAACTATAGCCCCTCTGCCACTCTGCCTCAGAGCCAGCTGATCATGGACTGAAACCTCTACCAACTGTAAGCCAAACTATGCTATTTCCTTCTTTAAAAAAATAAAAGTGAATGAAGTCTTGCTGGGCATGGTGGCACACACCTGTAATCCCAGCATTCTGGGAGGCTGAGGCAAGGAGGATCACAAGTTGCCCAGGATGGGCAACTCAGCAACTTAGCAAGATCCTGCCTCAAAAAAAAAAAAAAAAAAAAAAAAATCAATAAAATAAAAAAGGGAGTGGGCGTGTAGCTCGGAGTAAAGACTTTCAGTTCAATTGTCAGTATCTAAATAAATACATAAAGCAAGCAAGCAAGCACACTGTAGGTTCTTAAAACCTATTATTACAGAATATAAAATGATTAGATTACTTGTCACAATCTATCTTTAAATTCTACACATGTGTAATAAGCATTATTTATATTCTATTACTTATAATAAGTATACTATTGATATTATTTCAGTGAGTTTTCTTACCTGCTCTTCTAATTTTACTTTACTTTCTGTCATTCGTTCTATGAGTTTCCCAAGCTTCTTTAAAGATTTTAGGTCATTTCCAACTTCCTTTTCTATGAAAGCAGACACATAAGACAGAAGATCACCTTCATCTGTACCTTCGCTGACTTGTTCACTTCCAACAGGAGCTCCAGCATTTATGTCACCTAAAGTTAAAAAACAGCAGCCACTCGATACTATTAAGGACTACAGAGTTCAAGGAAATATAAAAGGTATACATAAAAGGTGTCACTACAGTTAGATTTTGACAGAAAATGTAATAGGCTATATACTTCATAAAAATAACAGCACCTTAGGATGGCACTATTTTGTTCATTATTTTGTATGCCATTTCATAGCCTGTACTTTCATCTCCAAAGAAACGATGTATGATATCCCAGTTGTTTCTTATTAATGAACTTTTTTCTAGACAGGGAAAAAATATACAAGGCAGTCTATCTTTGAGTTGATTTTTTGTTGTTGTTGTTGTTGTTTTTTAAGACAGGGTCTCACTATGTACTTGAGACCAACCTGGAACTATGTGGCCCAGGCTGGTCTCAAACTCACAGCGATCCTCCTGCCTCAGCCTCCCGAGTGCTGGGATTACAGGCATGTGCCATCACACCCGGCAAGAGTTTATAATTTTAAAACCACTATATATGTGTATAAACATAAATCTTTATATAACATATAGATATGTGATACCCATATGAAAAGCTATAAAATAGTCCCTCAGCCAAGTACCACAAAATGCTGAAGATCTGAGAAAATTCGGAGTGAAGGAAAAACCCCTAAAGTCTGTCCATATCAGGGACAGAAAAAAACAAGGATGCATGAAACAAATATTACTAGGAAAAAATCCAAATGGCTGATATAATCACTGCATTGAACAAAGCAAGAGTCTTTCCACTGCACACCAACCAGACTTGGTCCACTTTATACTGGATGTAAAATGTGGCAAAAACAGGTGACTTGGGACCCTGAAGCCATTGCTTAAGATTAGGAACAGAGGAGCATATGGTAAGAAATGGCTAGTGAGAGCAGGATCCCTGTGTAGCTTTGATCTCGTCCCAATTAGTACAAGACATTTCCCAGAATCCTCTCTCGATATTTGAAAACTAATTATCTCCTATGTTTGACAAATCAGTTTCTCATACCATTCTCCTTTCTTCCACTATCTGGGATGTTTTTGTTTTGTTTTGTTTTGTTTTGTTTTTTGAGACAGGGTCTCACTATGTAGTGAGACTGACCTGGAACTCACTATGCAGCTCAGGCTGTTCTCGAACTCACAGCAATCCTCCTGCCTCAGCCTCGCAGAGTGCTGGGATTACAGGCGTGCACCACCATGCTCGGCCTATCTGGGATGTTTATTAAGACATATTTAAATTACCTGTAATTCTTTGTGGAGTGGAGCAAGAATCAAATACAAAAAAAAAAAAATTCAATTTTTGTTTAAGATACTTAACAAAATTTTAGTAAATACAAAATCCACTTTAAAGGCAACCATTTTCTACTTTGCTAAATTCGTAGTCCAACAGCACTCCTTTGCAGGAATCTCTAGTTACACTTTGCTGCCCACCTGTGCCCAACTTCTGAAAAACCTGGAGAACCAAGGCAGCTTCTTCACGGATAGAGAGGTGACAAAACCCAGTCAGCTACTGCACCCTGTGTGCTGAGAGGGTGTTTCTCCCTGAGGTGTTTCTTTCCATGCATAAACTAGCTACTCTGGGGCAGGGGGTGCTCGTGGTTGAATCCAAGGTCACACACACAAGTGTTCTGCCACTGAGCTACATCCCCGATCCTTATTTTTTTAAATGTTGAGACAGGGTCTTACTAAGTCACTAAATTGCCTGGGATCCAACTTGTAATCCTCCTGCCTTAGTCTTGCAGATTGCTAGGATTATAGGAATGTGCCACCTTGCCTGGCTTCATCTTTTGGTCACTAAATAGTTTTCTCTGTCCCGTGCAAGTTTAGAAAATCTGAAGTTTGGGTCCAACTTCACATAATGGCAGCTCAATTAACCATACTGGTTTTTGTTTTTGTTTTTTGGTAGTGGGGATCGAACTCAGGACCTTGCGCTTGAGAGAAAGGTGGCAGCACCACTGAGCTAAATCCCTGGCCCTCATCATACTATTATTAAACATGCTCAATTCTACTTCCTTCACAGCTTGAATTCATCTCTATTCTTCTGTAGAGCTGTCCCGCACAGAGCCTGGCTCTTGACCAAAAATGCAGTTTTAGGAAAACAGCAGTGAAAGGCAAGAGGATATAATCAGCCTTACTAAAAAAGCATGAGTCACACTTCAGGAAAAATTAAAATATTAATATCTAACTAAGATACGACAACATGCAAAAAGTAAACATCATATAGTTCAAATACATATGTAAAGATTAACAGTATACCAATGTGTTTTTGGTACTAGCTATGTTCCTCCCTCTCCTTTCTCTTTACCTTGAAAACCATTTTCTCTTGTTTGTTTTTTTTGTTTTGTTTTGTTTTGTTTTGGTTCCGGGGATTGAACTCGGGTCCTTGCGCTTGCAAGGCAGGCCACTGAACCGCTGAGCTACATCCCCGGCCCTCTCTTGTTTTATTTAACTTGTAAAAATGAAAAGATTAAGTCAGAAACTGGGCATGATGGTGACTGCAGTCCCAGCACTAGGGAGACTGAAGTAGGAGGAATACCATGGGTTCAAGGCCAGTCTGAGCTACATATCAAGACCCTTTCTCAAAAAAAAAAAAAAAAAAAAAAAAAAGATTGAGCCAGACATTAGGGAACATGCCTGTAAATGAAGCGCTCCTTTGAGAGGTGGAGGCAGGAGGATCCAATGTTCAAGCCTTGCCTGAGTAACTGAGTGATAAGAAGACCCCGTCCTAAAATAAAAAAATTTTACAAGGGATAGGGATGTAGTTCAGTGTGAGGGCCCTGGGTTCATTCCCCAGTCCAAAAAATAAAAAAATACTGTTCACAGACTATGAGAACCAGGAGCCCAGTGGTTAGAAAGAGAAGCAAAACAATCCTAACACTATGCCTTAAATTCCAAACTAAACATCTGCCCCAGCCTACACTTAAACATCGTAAATGGAACTAAAAGTCATGTTTCCTGAGTCTCAGTCCAATACTCTTCATTTTCTTCATATATGAACAGGATCGGCTTGTCTGCATCCAAGCTTTATTAATATAAAATAACATACTATTTATTAGTCATAGTACATATCATAATCCATCATTATGTACTACACTCACAATATCTTTTTTTTTTCCCATACATAAAACAAGTGAATTGTATGTATCTGCCGAAAAATGCTGGCAGGAAATGCTTTGTGAATGAATCCAAAAGTTGGGGTATCTTAAGGAGCTGATTCTATCTTCAGTTTTAAAAATATACCCTTGGTCTGGGCACAGTGGCACACGCCTGTAATCCCAGTACTTGGGAGTCTGAGGCACAAGGGTCACTGTGAGTTTGAGGCCAGTCTAGGCTACATAGTGAGTTCAAGGCCAGTCTGAACGACACAGTGAGACCTTGTCTCAAAAAACCAAAATGACAATAATAATAAATACACCCTTGACATGTAACTGTTTAAATGTAGCACAGTACACTCTTAAATGATTCTTCAAAATGACACAGAGTTGACTTGGGAGCTTTTTATATCTCTCCCTTTCTACTTTTTGTAGTGAACACTTCTAACTACAAGTCAGGTACCTGAGCCACCAGAGGAGGAGGAGGACAGGGTCCTTGATGTGGCAGGCCGTATCTATCACTTCACCTAAATGACACAACAGTCAGTAGGTGTCAGGCCTCCCAGGCATCTGAGTGGGATGAAGGTGGGAAGTGAAGGGTTTAACTGAAATTGGGGACTCTCCAGTCCCTCAAGACTAACAAGCTGAGTGCGGTGGCCACAACTGTCAAGTGCTGTGGACTTGCTTGCGTTCAGAGGCAGACTGTATTAGCCAATGTTAAGCCAGACAGTAATGCGCTAAGCCCTTGCATTTACCCCTAGTGCTCATTCACAGACTGTTGGCCATGGTCAGAAGAACCTCACCCGCATAGAAGAGCTATTATGCGTTTTTCTCCTACCTCTCTAAAATATTACACTTCAAGAGCCCCTGGAGTCCTTGATTTCCAATCATTTGCCATACCATTAAAGTAAAAGGATAAATGTGCACATTCCTAACGCATGCTCCTGATCTAGGTAGGAAACAAGTACCAATCTTTCTCCTTTCCTGTCCAGAAGATAAAAGTACAACTAAACAATTCCTGTATCTAGTTCCTTTGAACACAGTTAAGGTGGTAGTCATGCCTCCTAGTCATAAGCCCCTCCATCTTCCTCATGTTTAATAAGCCCATGCTTCTTTGGCATGACAGGCAGGTTCCAATTAAGTTCAGTCCGATGGGCAGACCTCGAGTGTAGCACACCAGCGCCTGCCCTCGGCGGGGTTGGGAACTGCTGTTCTCCAAAGCATCTTGTACTTTACAATCTTGGAAAGACAAAAATACATGTATTATGATAATCAGTATTTATTACTATGTAAGCACACTGTACAGAAAAAGGGTATTTAATCAAAAAGATGACAGGCGGAGAACCCTTCTCTGTTGCCGACCCTGGAGGGGCTTGGGAGGGATGGCTGGGCCAAAAGACCTAAGGTGTTTACAGCCTGCTTACTTTTCTCCTCCGTAGTCTTCCTTTCGTCACCACTCTCCGAGCAGCCCTGGAAGGAAAACAGTGTGACAAGCAAATTAAAACTGAGGTCCTACAGAGGGCTCATCCTGGGCCCCCAAGGGCACCCACTGGTCCCATATGCCTCCTCCTGCGGCCTTTCTGAGGGGCTGGGACCGTCCTACGAAGGTTCCAACTAGGGCCACCTCCCTAGGACCCGAGTTACCTTGCCCGGCCCCACCTCCCTAGGGACATCTGTCACCTCGCAGGGCACTTCCCGGGACTACCTCCCCTGCGATAGTCCGGTGAGGCCCTCTATCTCGGGCTGCGGGAACCACCTTCCCAAGCTCTTAAAGTCACCTCGCCAGGCCCATCTCCCACGGGAGGTCTGTGCCATATCCCTGGGCCACCGCTGTCCCCCTCCCAGGTCGCCAGGGCCGCCTCACCGGGACTGCCGGAGCCTCGCCGATCCCGCTGGCCAGGAGCATCGTGCCTCCGCGCGAGTCCCCAGAGCCACGCGCGGCCGTGGCTGGCGGGGTCTGGCTGTGCACGGCGACACTCGGTTGCGCGGCCCCGAGATCGTAGAGCCGGGCGCCACCTCGACTTCCTCTCGCTGTCTCCGGTTCCTTCCACTCCTCCCACAGCAGCCCGGAGCGAGCAGCCCCCGGTCTGTGTTACAGCGTCCCCTAGTGGCCGGAGGTTAGGACCGCAGCTCCGGACAAGGAAAAGGGGGCGGTCCTTCAACCACTGCCGGAGCCACAGTCTCCCACCCCTCCACCCCAACCCCTGCTTCCTGTGAGCTCGGAAAGACGGAGCCATATTCCTCATTTTATGTAAATCGTTTAAATTTCTATTTTAGACAACACCCAGAAGTACTGGTGGGGTGGGGTTGTGGACTAGAAGCTTCAACATAGGGTTATTTGGTTCGACTTTGTTGGGAAATCTTAAATGAATGTATCTTTCAGTCTTTCTTCTAAGGCAGGTCGGATCCCACAGAGATGACCCTTCAGTTTCCTGCGTGGAGGGTGCAGATCTGGTAATAAGTGTCCCGGGAGCTGAATGAAGAAAAAGCATTCAACAGCTAACATGCATTTTGCCAGAAGAGAAACTTAACCCTCTGTTATTTCCAGGGAGGAAGAACAGGAGTTACCTAGCAGCAAGAGCTAGGCAGACACCAGGGATTTGACAACCTCACACACCCTAACAAGAAAGGAGATGGGAATCCTTAGAGGAAGCAGAGAAGAAAACTCAAATATACACATATCGCATATCCTGAGGTATGAATTACCGTTGCCAACATAAAAATAAGAAAAATATACTATCTTAAAAAGGAACGTTCAGAGACAAAAACAAAAACCATAGCAGAAAAGTTGGGAAATAGCACGGGGGGGGGCATGAAGAAATGAAAAATAGGAAAGAAACAATAATAGAGGACTACTCCGGGGAGTCCAAAATTTGAAAAATGAAAAGATGAGTGCCAGTTAGGAAGAATTATCGACAAAATAATTTTTAAAATTTCTCCAAAACTGAAGAACATGAATTTCCAAATTGAAATGTGCCGCTGAATGCCACACACAACTGATAAAAAACCAGCACACTCCAAGGCTCATGGATGGGGGCAGAAAGACTTTCAGAGAGAAAAACAAATTACTTATGAATGATTAAGAATCAGAATACGTTTGGATTTCTGGAAAGCAGTTCCACCAAATATCAAAAGAAAATATATTTAAAACTAGAATTCTATTACTGATTAATAAACTATAGATCAAAGGTGGGTAAAAATAAAGTTACATTCAGACATTCAAGATCTCAAAAATTGACCTTTCATTTACCCCCTCCTTCCTTAGGAAACCACCTGAAGTTTGTGTTTCCTTAAAAACGAGAAAATAATCACAAGAAAAATAAAGAGACAAGGAAGAGGAAGAAGAGGACAATATAGTGTATTAGTCCATTCTGTTGAATACTTAATACTACAGACTAGGTAATTAAAAAGAATAAAGGTTTCATTTAGTTCATGGCTCTATAGGCTGGGGGAGATCTAAAATCAAGGGGCAACATGTGTTGAAGGTCTTCCTGCTGATAAGGACTCCAAAATCCTAAGGCAGCACAGACCCAAGATGGTTTTATAACAGACCACTATCTTGAGATAATCCATGAATCATTTTCTTAATAAATTAACAGATAATCCCCTCACATGAGCAGAATTCTCATGACCCAAGGACCAAACCACTTATCACCTCTTAAAGGCTTTACTCAAAGCCTTTACTCTTAAAGGTCTCACTTTAGTTTGTTTTGCTTTGTTTTCAGTGCTGGGAATCAAACCGAGGGACTCCCACATGCTAAACAAGTACTGTATCACTCAGTTACATCTCTAGCCCCTGGACTCTCTTCTTATATCTCAAATGGGGATTAAATGTCAAATGAATTTCAAATTCCAGCACATAGGATGTAGAGACAAAAGGTACAACTCAAGAGAAAAATGAAGTGAGAAGCTCACCTCGTGGGCACTAGGTGTGGAATGGTGCAGATTGAGAGGGGCAGAAGAGGCACTTTCAGTTCATGAAACTGATGGGACACAGTGTATGTCCAAACTTCTGGAGGAGCAGAGTTAAGCAAGCATGAACGAATTTGGGGTGGTCTAAGTGAAACCAAGGGAATATGATCCACGGAGGGAAAACTGCAGGAGAAAGAGCAGTAATTATAGTTTGCTATGTGCCTAAGATGTGAGCTTTATTTCCCTAGCTGTAATGAAGTAAACACAAGTCTAAAGAAAATCTAACATGATCATACTGGGTAGATGGAGGGGTGGGAAGGATGGGGGAGAAATGGGAGAGAAGGAGAGCTAAATCCTCATGTTCCATTAGGTGAAATTAATAGTGCCTAAAAGTGAAAAATGAAGAATAGCAACTCAGCATGTTATACAAAGATGCACGACTTTAGAGTACAGTAAAATTGAGAGGAAGGTAGAGATTTCCCGTACATCTCCAGCCCCGATACACACATGCACATCCACCTCCACCATCAACATGTCTCACCAAAGTGGCATATCTCTGACACCTGACCAACATCTACTGCTACGTCATATCACCCAGACTCGCTACTTTACTTTTTAGGGTTCACTCTTCGTGTTGTACTTTTTATGGATTTGAACACAGAGTGACATGGCTATTAGCTTTTTGTCTCAATGGCCAAAGGACTGACATCAATCCACTTCAAGGAGAAAAGATTTATTTTGAGTCACAATTTCCATTACCTCCCAATAATGCCACCAAAACATGATCCCAACAATGAATTAATCTGGTTAGAGCCCTCCTGATCCAATATTCTGAAAGCCTCACCTCAGAACACAGACTTGTAGGGAACATTTTAACTCTAATCATAAGTCTCTACCCTTATAGTATGATAGTGTTTTCACTGCCCTAAATTCTTTATTTTCCCTATTTATTCATCCTAACCTCTGGCAATTGCTGATCTTTTCACTGTCTCCACTGTTTTGCCTTTTACAAAATATCATATACTGTAGGTGGAATCATATAGAATGTGGCCACTTCAGTTTGATTTCTTTGTTAGTAATATACATTTATGTTTCTTCCATATTTTTTCATGGCCTGATAGTTCATCTATTTTCAGCACTAAATAATATTCCATTGTCTGGGGCCAGGGGTTTTAGCTCAATGGTTCTGCTGCCTACCTTGCAAGCACAAGGTCCTGAGTTCGATCCCTGGTACAAAAAAAAAAAGGTAAAAAATAACATTCCATTGTCTGGATATACCACAGTTTATACCTTAGTGCCTTCCAAGTTTTACCAATATTAATAATGCTCCTATAAACATCTATGGATATGTTTTACTGTGCATTTGTTTTCAACTCCTTTGGATAATTAATAAGGAGTGAAACTGCTGTATCATATGGTGAGAATATATTTGTAAGAAACTGCTGAACTTCTGAAGTGGCTGTACCATTTTGCATTCCCACAAAAAGTGAACGAGAGTTCCTGCTATTACATATTGTAATCAACAATCGGTGTTTGCAAATCAGAACAATAATGTATACCACTACACAATTATTAGATTGGCCCAAACCCAGGATACTTGAGAAGATAACTTTTTTCAAGTACACAAAAGCTAAGAGTATAGGGTTGAATTTTTACTGTGTGGTTCTGGTAAAAATATTTGTATTTGTTGTCATGGGTCCATCAACCTATAAATTAACCACAACCCAAGGACATGTCACTATACAACTTTGATTTTCTCCTTAGAGCCAAAGTTTGGCAAAATAACTAGATCTGAAATACTGGAGGCTTCTATTTAGTCAGTATAGGTGGGCTATTTGGAAAGGAAATGATTTTTATGCTTCTTTAAACAGAAGCAAAAACTGGCTATAATCAGGTTTCTGGAGGGTGGGGGAGTCAGTAAGCGGGGTAAGAAGTGGGAAGATGCCTGCTTGGATCCGTTCGCAGGAGCCCTGTGCTAAAATGATTTTCTTCTCATGGTTAACTGCGGGATGGGGTGCAACAAGAAAGGGCCTCAAGTGTGTAGAAGGAATTCGGATTCAAATACAACTAATAAAGCAATGGCTGTTTTAGAAGCCCTGAGGGTCTAAACAGCTCTTTGATGCACGATAAAATCACTTTTGTCCAGTAGCGCCCTTCCAAGTGGACCGCCCACCTCCTGCCGAGTCAAAGCGTGGAGGTGTGGCCCCGAGGCCTCCACTCGTTGGTGTCCTCCGCTTGTGGGCGGAGCCTCCTGGCTGCCGGGGCG